CCACAACATTTCTCTCTTTTCTTCCCCATTTTGATCATACCTAGCTATACACCTTTTGAGGAAATATCTCCATAAGGGTCAGAAAAGGTACAAAATGGACAGGGCAAATTTTTATAATGCCAGGTACCAAATATAGTTTTAAAGGGTAGCTAAGCCTATTGCCTTAAGGCAAGGAAATTCATAATCTGATTCTTTAACTCCACAAATCTGCAGGTAAATGTCACAGTGCCCTCTGGAGGTAGGCTCACTGGTTCTAGCCCTGAATTAGTGATTGGTAACCACTGAAAAATATAGGGTTGCTGAGGTTCAGCAATCTTTTCTCTAGGGGGTTGGGGGAAGGAGGTATGGAATATAAGGACAGTGGAAAAATTGCCAATTGTTTACTAACTCTTTGTGAGTGGGATGTGCAGGGGTGTGTGGGGGTGTGTATTTGTGTTGAGGGGTGGGGTGGGAGGTGACTAAGTAAACATTGCCCTTAATTTCAGTAGTGTCAAGAGAGAATGGATACATGTGGACAGGTACTCAAAAGTGGTGGTAAGGGAGGTGCTTCAAGATGGCTGACTAATGCATCTGGTACTTACCTCTTCCATGGAGAGGAACCAAAATAGCAAGGAGATAATCACACTTAAAATAGATGATTTAAGAGATAATGCTGAAATGCAACAATTAAGTGACAGGAAACCCCAAAAGCAAGGAAAGTGAGGAAAGCAAGGCAGCCTGCTCAGCCAGGATTGACTGGGAGCCGGGAGAGGCTCTGTAATGCAGGGAAAGGGTAAGTGAGAGCTCCCCAGTGGTCCCCATTCCCGCTGTGGACTCCTACAGTCTGAGCCAAGGGAGAGCCTCTCAACCCTCACAGACCCTGAGACTGACAAAGAGAGTTGCCTGGGGACCGTATAGCAGTATTGCTCTAGAGAGGGAGCTCATGCTCACTCCTAACAACCCCAAATCCTAAGCAGCTGCAGCATGGCACCATTTTAAGAATCCAATCTCCACCAGACTGTATTCTGTCCTGGGGCCCAACAGTCCCTGCATGTTCACATGCCTGAAGCCACTGGCAGCAACCCTGCCTCCCCTCTAGAAGAGATGTCAAAATACCAATGTTATCTTTCACATAATTAGGGGGAAAAATCCTAAAATAGTATAGAACCAAAAAAAGAGCCTGAATAGCCAAAACAATTGTGATCAAAAAGAACAAAGCCGGTGGCATTACACTACCTAATTTCAAAATATATTACAAGCCTATAGTAAACAAAACCACATGGTACTGGTATAAAAACAAACACATAGACCAAGTGAACAGAATAGAGAAATAAGAAATAAATATATGTATTTATAGCCAACTGATTTTCAACTAAGGTACCAAGAACATACATTGGGGAAAAGCCATCCTCTTCAATAAATGGTGCTGGGGAAATTGGATAACCATATGCAAAAGAATGAAACTGGACCCTTATTTCTCACCACATAAAAAAATCAACTCAATCAAGATGGATTAAAGACTTAAACACAAGATTCAAAACGATAAAGCTACTAGAAGAAAACTTAGGGGAAACATTTTAGGACATTGGTCTAGGCAAAGATTTTATGGTTAAGATCCCAAAAGCACAACAGAAACAAAAATAGATAAATGAGACTATACTCAACTAAAAAGCTCTGCATAGCAAAGGAAACAATCAACAAGAGTGAAGAGACAACCTACAGAATGGGAGAAATATTTGCAAACTATTCATCTGATAAGAGACTAATATCCAGAATATACAAGGAGCTTAACCAACTCAACAGGAAAAAAAACAACAACAAATGATCCCATTTAAAAATGAGCAAAGGACATGAATAGACATTTCAAAAAAGAAGACATATAAGTAGCCAACAGGTATATGAAAAAATGCTTGATATCACTAATTATCAGAGAACTGCAAATCAAAATCACAAAGAAGTATCATCTTATTCCAGTCAGAATGGCTATTAATAAAAAGACAAAAAACAACAGATATTGGCAAGGATGCAGAGAAAAGGTAACTCTTACATATTGTTGGTAGAAGTATAAACTAGTACAGCAACTATGGAAAACAGCATGAGATTTATCAAAAACCTAAAATTAGAACTACTGTATAATATACCAATTCCATTACTTGGTATAGATCTATTTGGAAAGGAAATCAATATATCAAAGGGATACCTGCACTCACATTAGATACACAGTGGAATACTATTTACCCATAAAAAGAATGAAATCATGTCACTTATAGAAACCTAGATGGAACTGGAGGTCATTATGTTAAATAAAATAAGCCAGGCACAGTAAGACAAATATTGCATGTTCTTATTCATTTCTTTCCTGGTATCTACAAATATTTGGGCTTGTGATATCTATTTAGCCAATAATCCTCTACTTGGTTGATTAAAATGTACTTATATAGTTATCAAGGAATTAACACCTTTTTGAATAAAGAGTTTAAGACAATCCAAAAAATAAAAGTTTACATTTTATTTTAAAAGTCTACATTTAAATTTAAAATTAAATAAGAAAGGATGAAATAGAATCCTTTGTCTTATGGATGAAAGGTGAGGTGACTAGAATATTAACTTAGGTTATTAGTAGCCTGATGTCACTGTCCAACTATCAGTGGCTGCTACATGTATACTGATACCCCAGAAGCCAATGTTTTTTGTTTCATTGTTCCATGTAAAGTTTATTCTCACTGGGAACAAAATTACACAAAATCCTAAGTCCACTGATAGAATCATATACACTACATTTAAGAATCCTTTTCACTTTTTGGTTTAGTTTACCCTTCTCATACTATTATAGGAAAAATTTCAAATAGTTTCTAGGGAGAAGATTCAATTTCAAGTATTAGAAAACAGAATCACCAGCCTGGATGATACAGCTGGAATTAATACATTTCTTTTTATTTAATTATTTATAGTATTTGGTGTCTTTCATCTTTTTAAATGGGTTGTAAGTAAATTGTCTTTCCACTTAACTGATTAGCAGAATTAAATTATATTTTATATGTCAAAAAATGAATACAATGTTTAAGGAAACTGAATGGCAAAAGATGTCACCAAAATAAGAAAATGGCTATCCTTTATAAATGAAAGTAAGGATTTCATTTCCTTAAGAATAAAAATGGAGGGGAAAATCCTATTTCTTGCTCATTAAATATTTGACAAAGCATCCATTTCTAATTTACCTCATATGGATATATATTCACTAATTACTTTAAGAAAAGTTCCATGTTTCAAAATAAATCTCAAGAGTACTTAATGAAGGCTTATGCAATCCTATGAAGAAAATCTAGCAGTGTGAAAACACTCTGTAGTTTAATAAAGTCTGTGCTGTAGTGGGCCCATTACGGCATGTTGGATCAGGATTCTACTCTTGGCCTTTCATTTGACATCAAATTCTAGAACTGCTATACTTTGGGGAAAAGTAATATCAAGGTAACGTTTATGTGCTCTGTTTGATAATATTACTAAAGTAAAATTTATCATGCCTCCTTCCATAGAAGGTGCAAGGATAATTATAGGGCATATCAGATTCTCCACCCTAAACAAATAGTCAAAAAAAAAAAAAAAGAAAAAGAAGAAGAAGAAGAAGAAGTAGCCTTGGCGCGAATACGTATTTTAATAAGGTATTGTCTACTTCATATCACAGGAGAATAAGTCATTCTTCTAGTGAGGCCTGTGTCTGAGATCAAATATTGTTGGTTCACAAAATTTAATGTCTGAGATGTTGCCAACAGAAGAAAATTTACCCATCCGTGACTTCAGCAGAATGCAATCCTCATAAATTTTATTTTACTGGAGTTGTAGAGTTACCTATTTTGGGGAGGAAATGATTAGTTTACGAACAGAAAAATAACAGGGTGGCTTTGAACTTTTTATTTTTGCCACTTCTTTCCTGCCAGAGCTCAGCGCCAGAATCAGGGCTCAAATTTGATGGTATCTCAGAACTCTGAGGAAATCGAGCTCAGAAGTCGAGAATAAAATTACTAAGAAATGCACTCTAAATCCATCGGGCAACACTGATTTTAATACTATCAAAGTCTTGATGCAATGCCAGAACAACTAGGAGTTTTCATCTGGATCAAGAGACTTTTAGCAAAGGACAGTATTTTTGGATGAATTTTGATAAGTAACAAAGAGTGTATACTCACCACAATGGAAACTTTGGTCACGATCAAAGATGTCCAGGAAACCTAACCACCCAATGGTTCTGGTCATCTCACAACTTTTTTTTTTTTTCTATTCAGAAAGGCACACCCATGAACAGGCAATGTCGCTACTTAGGCTCTTTCATAGCAAACCAGCAGCTGTCAAATTAACTTTCTTAGCTATTAAAGTGAAAAATTTTTACCACATAATAGATTTGGCCTGGGGACCTCAGGTTTTGAAGGTCTAAATGTGGCTCCCTAAACAGCTCTTGGAAGAGCAAAGTCCCTAAGCGCTTAAGGACCCTCCTTTCATCTGGACGATGGCGTTGCCAACGAAGCACTGCGCCTCGGGGCTCCAAAAGAGCCAGGATTTGGGAAGTTCTGAGATTCCCCCCGGTAGACTGCAAGACCGCCAAGTGCTAAAGCTCTCCGTCCCTCCACACCCCGCACCCCGCGTCCTCTGAGCGCCGTCCCGTTGGGTCCCCAAAGCCGAGATCCTTCTCCTGTCCCATCAGGGATGAAGGGGGCTGTGGGGCAGGTGTGCAGGTGAGGGGTCTATTACGTGGGGTGCTGGGAACAGGATAGTGTCCAGAGAAGGTAAACTGCCTGGGGTCACCCGCGCTCAGCTTCCCGGGACAAAAGCCTGGAGCCCCCGCGGCTCGGGCTCCGGGGGAGCAGCCGCCGGTGAGAGTGTGCAGGGCTGCAGGGGGCGAGGGTGTGCAGGCTCGGCCCCAGAGAGAGAGCCGGTGGCCCCGGAAAGCCTCCTCGCACCTGCACCCTCCCTGGGGTAGGGACTGGACTGGGCTCGGCGGGGCGGGCTCCGGGAGGGGACGCGCTTACCTGGAGGTAGGGCCGCCCGTGGGCCACCCCGCCCACGACGATGTCGGCCGCGGCCATGGCCCCGGTGGGCGAGAAGCCGAAGCCCACGTAGCCGGCGGTGCGCACCTCGAGGCGGACGGCGAGCCGGCTGCCCCGCTGGCCCCAGCCCAGCCAGTACTTGCCCTCCGAGTCGAGGACCGTGCGGTGCGGGAGGGTCCGGCCCGAGCCCCCCGCCGCCGCCCCGGGGAGCAGCCCCCACAGCAAGAGCAGCCCCCAGCCGCACATCCCGCGGCGCCTCCTGCCGCCGGCACCCGCGCCAGCCTCTGCGGAGCGAGCAGCGCACCCGGAGCGGCGAGCGGGAGCCCAGGGACCGCCCCCGGCCGGCCGGGAGGGGCAGGGCCGCTCTGCCCGCCTCGGGCGCCCGGCAGGACGCGCCCCGCCCCGCCCCGTCCCGCCCCGTCGGCCCGGCTCCGCGAACTCTCGCCCTGCGGGGCCCTCCCCGCCGCCCCACCTGCCGCCCCCGCTCCCGTTCGGTCCAGGGGTCGGGACTCGGTGGGAGGAAAGGCCGGGAGCAGGAGGCAGACGCCTAGGAGAGGGCCCAGGGCAGGGGCGAGGGCGGCGGCCGGGGTCCGCAGCGGGAGAGCGCGGGCCCTCGGGGAAGGGGGCGAGCAAGCCCGGAGCGAGAAACTGGGGAGGGACGGCAAGTTTAGCCTGGGAGGGGAGGAGCCGAGTGAGCAAAAGGGATAATCCTGGGGTGTGGTGGAGAGAAAGCGAGAGAAAGTCCGTCCCCGCAACCTTATCACCTCTGCATCAGTTGTCGAATTTCCAGAGTCCTCGCACCCGGCGACGCCCCTGCCGCCCCGGAGGGGCACGGTTCACCTCCCCCAGCACGTTTCTCTCACCCCTTCTTCCTGCGGGGCCCAGATCTTGTTCCTCACGGCGAGAGTCCGCGCCCTGATGCTTGCTTTCCGCCTGGTTTGGGGTTGGTCTGGCTTTGATGTGACAAATTCTGCCAAACTACTTTACCATCTGCAGAGTACATCAGGGTTGAATCGTCATTTGAGAGTTCGATTTTAATTTAAAAATCTTTTTTTCCTTCTATTTCAAGTTCTGGCTGTAGCCTTGCTTATCAAAAGTTTATTTTGTTTTGTGTTGTTTTTGCCTCTGCCTTTGACCACTCCTGTCTTCGGAATGCTAAATATTCAATATGGCAATTATAAGTTACCTTCCTTATTTGTCTATTATATTCTGCTATGTTTCAAAAAAAATTCTAAAGTGGCTTATAAAAATAGAAACAATACAAAGTCAAACAAATATAAGCGAGAATATCAGATGAAAAATACAGATAAGAAGAATACTACAAATACGTACTATTGACTCTGGGTTTGCAGGCTCGAGCATACACGAGCCACCTGTATACTACTTATTCTCTCTGCTGGTCATATTCCATCCTGTTTTTTCTTGCGTGTATTTTCTTTTCCCATAACTTTTCCAGAGTTACCAGTGTGCATCTAAACTATGTCCTTTATGGATTCAGGCATATTTGACCATGTCTGGAAGGCAACCCCTAGGTGGACCTGCTTACCAGGGGATTCAAAGAGTAGCCTGGAAAGGGATTCATCCTAAGAAAAAACTGGAGCAAGGTGGGTTTGGCAAATGACAATAGGTCAGCATCAGAGAAGAGTGATGTTGAAACCTTTGGACAAGATGAGAAATAAAAACACCTGTAAAGCTTTAAAACAACTGAAGCATTGAGAATATGGAATATTAGTAGCCAGGTCCCTCCCCTCCACCAGGACCTGCTGGGTAGACGTCAAGGGCAGAAACATCCCCCGCAGCAACAACGTAAGGGTGCCAGCCTTGGGACAGGGTCTCTGCAAGCACCAGGGACTTGACTGCTGCTGCTGGCTCCAGCCATGAAGAAAGGAGGGGATACAGAGAGGAAGAGAAATAAAAATGGAGGGACACAGGGTCCAGGAAGAGTAGGTTATGGCACTGTGTGAATGCACTCGCTATACTGAGCAGCCTCTCACTACACTGGATGGGAGTTTCAGATTACTGCAGGGTGATCAAAGGCAAGCCTCCTGTTTTTTGACCATACTCTTATTCCTAGCCTGAAGGAACCTGCAACAAATACATTGCTACATTTGCTTCCTGGAGTTTATTATATAAACCCCAGATTCACATCTATCAGAAGACATTTCTGTCTCCTTATTAAAACAAAATGGTATCCTACCTTCTAGAATTTGACCCCCATTGACTGTTCTGGCTTCGCCATCCATCGTTCCCACCTCATTCGCCCACTGTCTTCTAAACACATGAAAACCACCTCTAGCTTCCTTAACGGAGGGCCATGCTGTATTGCATCCCTGTGCCTTTTCAGACTGCTTGCTCTGCTCTTCGTCCTTTCTCCCCTCCACCCTTGGAAGTATTTGCTCATCCTCCTCCCCACACTTCACAGTCAGACGGCATCGACTCGTCCACAGTGGTGCTCATGGAATGTTCTGCCCAGACCTCATAGGCACTCCTGACACTTTTTGTCTACAGGCTTTTTTTCCCCTCCAGTAGCCTCCTTAGGTCGGGGATTGCATCTGGTCCCTTCTTGTAACCCCATTGCCTAGAATATGGACAGTTATGCAATAAATAAGCACTTAATAAATATTTGTAGCAAGAATGAATAGATGCACTTCCAGATCTTCCTGGAAGTATCCTCTTAACAAAGTTGGACTTTGGGGTAAAGCTTGGCCCCAGATATGGAATATTCTGCTTTGCATTGGTATTGAGACAAAAATAGAAAAGACCATGCATGAATACACAAAAAAGAAAGTTTTAAATTGATTTTATTATTTCATTGAGTGGTAAGTTATTATCTTTTGTTGTGACTGGCATTACATCCAAACATGCCCTGAATACTCAAGAAACATTAAAATTAATATACTCATCTTGAGATTAAGTCAACAAACAGAACATTATTAGCATAATTCATTCTCAAGAGACCCACTCTGTTTTGGCTTCAATTACCCCAGTAACTTAAGACAGAATAGAAAACTTTATCTTTGTGTTCTTTGTAAGCTGCGTGAGTTTTCTGGATCAAAACCAAGTTCTAGCAGACTCAGTTTCCTGATTTGGAAATCAATTACTATATTGCAACTTGTCTTAAATTTGAACGAAAAGCAGGAAGAAAGCATAGGTCCATCAAAAATTTAGGGAATATGGCAGAGAAAAGAATGAATTCAGTGGTAAAAAGCTTCAAAAATTTTTTTACAGCTATTGTTTTTGTTAAAAATGAATGATGCTTATTTAAAGGAAAAAAGTCAGGAAATGCAGAAAAGTATGAATAAGAAAGTAAACTAAAAAAAAATCACCTGAAATTCTGCCACCCCAAAATAACTCTTGTATGCATTCCAAGAACATCATTTCAGAACCCAGTTCCATTAAAGGATTGGAGGAACAGTCCATTGGGCAAGAATTTGCAAAGAAACAGGTGAATTAATTTTGTAAGACTCCACTTGAAATAAACAGAGAAACTATAAACATCCCAGTTACAATTATATTTTGTAAGGTTTCTTCTTTCCACATGTGTTTTTTGGATACATGAAAAGAAACAGAATAGACCAAACTAGAGATTCATTGAGGTCTTACTTAAGTTCAGAATGTTCAACCATATTACTCATTCTTAAAATGAATCATTTTCGCACACTTTTTAATCGGGGATTTAAAATGTAGTATTTATTTTAATTCCTCACTCTGATACATAGCCTGCAATCTGCCAGTGTGACTACATCCATGCTGAGCTTTCTTACCTCCGAACCCTCTGTTGCTAAGGTTTATTTATATTTCTACATTAGTCAACTGCAAGAGGCTGGGGGAAGGGATGAAGAGAAAAGAAAGCCCAAGGGATGGTTACAAGCCAATGCAAAGTATGAACTAGGATGGTCTGAAATAGGTATTTCTTTTTGAGAGTATCATAATTTCCCTGTCTACTTGTACCTAAGGCGCAACAATAATACTAAATATTTATAAGTTCCTGTCTTCTAGGGAGCTTAAAGAAAAATATTTATATAAGTGATCTCAGCAGTTCTCCAAAATAGAGAAACTGAAGCACTTTCTCACTTTAGTCTATAAACTAAGTCACTTGTGTGGACAAGTGACTGGTTCAAGTTCATACTATGAGTCAGTGGCAGAAAAGCCAAAAATAGAGAACTTTGGTGTGTGTGTATTTTTTTTCCAACTACATACTTTTTGTGCTCTCACCTCATCTCCATTAAAAAATCATACTTTTAAAGCCACTAGGTCATCACCCTGAAACATTATTTCAGCGGGGCTATTTTTCACATGAGTGACATCCTGTGATCTACTATTAGCCCAATGTTATGCTTCTCACTTTAATAATGGATGATATTATTGACGATGGTATAATAGATGAAGAAGGTGTGGATTTAGTGCATTTATTTTTATTATCAGGAAACTGAGATGTGCTTAACTGAGTTCTTGAGATCATTTTGAAATTGAGTGCCAGTTGGCACTGAAAATCACTCTTAGGCTCTTCATTATAAAAATCACAGCAAGCAAACCATTTTCTTTGTGTAAAATTTACATATTAGTACTATCCATAAACTATGCTCTGAAACAAAACTGTTCAACTAAAAAAAGTCTGTGACAAAAAAAAAAAAAAACACAGCAATGTTCTTTTTATCACTAATGACCATCTGTTACAACTTTCCTTTACAGGGAACCATAACATTATCAATAATGTGGAGGGGAAGAAATTGATTTACACTAAGTGTTCAGTCTATACTATTATGGAGTCGTGTTTAAAAATTTGTTTAGCAATTGATGAGAACAGTGGACTCTGGAATTCCATTCTTTATCAGAGTGATCTTCAGCACCAGAAAAATATCCATGTCCTCACATTTTGGCAAACTGCACTTCCAGAGGGACCAGGCAACAGAAACTGTCATTAATTATAGGAGTAGAAATTAGAGTGATAGAATGTGCTGAGTTACCAGTGAGAATGGCCTTTATCAAAAAGTCTCCAAATAACAAATGCTGGCGTGGATGCGGAGAGAGAGGAACACTCCTACACTGCTGGTGGGACTGCAAACTAGTTCAACCTCTGTGGAAAGCAATATGGAGATACCTTAAAGCGATACAAGTGAATCTACCATTGGATCCAGCAATCCATTACTGGGCATCTACCCAAAAGACCCAATGACACTCTACAAAAAAGACACCTGCACTCGAATGTTTATAGCAGCACAATTCATAATTGCAAGGCTGTGGAAACAGCCCAAGTGCCCATCAATCCAAGAATGGATTAATAAAATGTGGTATATGTATACCATGGAGTACTATTCAGCTCTAAGAAACAATGGTGATAT